AAAAAAAGTGTACAGCAGCCGCTTACTTCGAGTAATTGATAAACCGGCCCTGGCTGCAAGGGCCCCAGGGACCCCCAATTGCACCCCCTTCCTTTTCGTTCGCAGCCGCTTCTCCCAAAGGCAAAGGCGCCTGAAATCTACCTTAAAGACCTCCAAGTCGAAAAAATTAAAATTAAAAAATGGAGCGCTTCGAGATAGAGCTTCTAGCTGGAGCGGTGACAAATCCGGCTTCGATACCTTCCATCTTTTCAGCAGGAGGAAGCGATGGCCCCACATCCACCTCCATCGGCTCCTCTTCTGCCCAGTCGACTTCATCCATCTTCCAAGTCACATTCAGAGACCCGTAGGTTTTGGACGTGGACCATCGGTACCTCTGCATCCGCCTCTTGGGAATGAATATGATGGGGATAGCATAAGAGGTGAAGCTGGAGCTGGAGCAGGCTGGCAACGGAGTGGTGTCACAATGTTTGGTCTTACGTTGGCACTTGCACCCAGAGAGGGCGAGCGGAGCACCAGGCTGAGGTAGAAGGGACGCTGGGGCTCCACTGGAGGGTGCGGGGCCAAGGGCCCGCTTACTTCACTGTTAGGGCGGCTCCTCTTCTCCTTCCTCTTGTTTGGATGAACCTCTGGCTCCATTTTTTCTGCCTTTCTCTTCTTTGCCGGGACCAGGAGGCAAAGAGTTGGCTCCGGGACAGGAGAAGACCGCTGGTCCACAGAGGGGGCGGAAAGCGTGGAGCTGTGGGACACCCTCCAGCGAATGGTCATGCTGGTCTCGATTGTTTGCCTCACGCTGACCTGGGGGGCCAAGGTGACGAAGCCTGGTGTTAAAAAGCTGGCCCCGGGGTTCGAGCAGGAGTACAACCTGCCGCCATATTGCCCTTCGTAGCCGTCCCATCCCGAGGAGGTTGAGGGTGTCTTGCTCAGTCGGAAGCTGCAGGAAGAGGTCCGTGGTCAGTGGAGGTGTCCCAAGGGGCAGAAAAGGAATCCCATTGGCCTTTGGAGCTGCTGCACCACACTCAGTGCTCAGGATCAGCTCCAAGATCTTGTTCACAAGGACTGTTGTCGAGGCAGGCATCACCCACTGTGTATCTTTGCGTGTTAAGATGGGGATTGCCCTTCGCCTGCCAGGTTAGAAGCCAGATCCCAGGGGCCAAGGAACGGAGGGAGAGGCTGCCCAGCGGAGGAGACTTACGAGGTCGAATGGCCATATTGCTTGACGTAGGGCACACTGGTCTGCTGGATGGTATTCCTTGTGTAATACACACAGTACTCTGTCTTCTTTCTCCTTGGCCCATTTTGGGGGTTTCCGGCTGGTATGGAGGCATTTCCTGGGGCGGGGCAGGCGAGTTGGCGGGGCTGAACACCTCGATGGCGTCTCAGGGCGGTTTTTACCAATGGGAAGAGGAAACTCCACCGATGAGGGACCGGGGTCCAACTGGGTGGCGAGAGCCAGGCCGTGTGGGGGGCCTTTCCCTGGCCCCTTCCCAGCCTGGCAAGGGCCAGGGCCAGGGCCGAGCCCCGAAGTCTCCCCGGTCTGCTAGGCTGCATTTGGAACTTTCCCCTCAGCCCTGGCCCTTTCCGAATCAAACAGCGGGCGAGGGCCGAGCAGCGAAGGCTCCCCCGGTCGACTAGGTCGCATTTGGAGCCTTCCCCTCTGAAGGCAAGCGGAGCACCAGGCTGAGGTAGAAGGGATGCCCTGGCCCTTCTGAAGTGGCGGAGGCGTCTTTCCTCCCTCGTGCCATTTCCCTCAAGCCCCTCCCCGACTTCCAACCGCCCTTCCTCATTTACTTATTTACAAATGTACTTGATCGATTTAATGGAGTTGCAGTATTCAACGTTTATGTGTGCTCTGAATGTTTTTGATAGGAGAGGCAAGTACGGAATGACCCACCGGTTATCTACTTCTTTGTTAGTGTTTCACATGTGTATGGTTGTTAACTGTCCGCCATATTCTGCTGATCTTCTCCTGTACAAAGGATATGCATCATTTCCTGTCAATGTGTGGGCTAGTAGTGTGCAAGGATATCGCTTTGAGCATTTGCCATCTATCATGCATGGTGATTTTGGATGCAGTATGCTGCATGGTCCATGAATCATATGTTTCGTCAGAATAGCATGCAATTCCTTATCTGCATCAGCATTGTGTATTTCTGTGCTTATGACATTGTCGATTTCATTAGAAGTGATTTTTAGGTAGAGCCAGAGCAATATATGTGCGTGTGGCAATCCTCTCTTTTGCCATTCTACAGAGTACATCCAGCAGCGTACTTTACCAAACACTTCATGTTTCACCATGAAGTTCATCATTGATTTCAGCTTCTAATGTCTAAACACACTGACTGTGATGTCATGCCTATCAACAGTGTCTGGCCAGGAAGTAGGAGCTGTTGTATACTGTCCAAAGCTGGATTGCATGTAAATGTGATGAATAGGTCTGGACGTCGCATACTCTATTGCATCTTGTGTGTATTCATACATACGACGTGGACTGTCTGTATATGATGATGGCAGAACTGTTAGTTTTCCTATGCTAGTTGTATTGCCGGCATTTACTGCTGCATCTCGTAAATGTATGTTTTCTTCTGAGTGTAGCTTGGTTTGATTAAAGCAGATTAATTGTAAACGTTCTGTTTCGATTTTAGCATACATATCTACGATGTATTGGTGAAACAGTTGACAACATTTTAATATGTGATTGTCTTCATTCTATCAACATGACTAATAGGGTTCATTGCGCTGCATTTCACTTGTGTTTCTTGTCCGCTGATGGGATTTATCATCTTAACGTTGAAGTGGTATCCATCAGCTCCATCCCAATAAATGATTGGGTACTGCAGGTCATCATAGCATCTCAGTTTCTGCTACTTTTGTTAATTGATCCTTTCTCCAATGAAAAACAATATCTCTTGGTTGACATTGATCTCCGATTATAACAATTGCCACTTCATCTATAGTGGGTGCATTGTATCTTTGCACATGTTCTCAGAGCAGGCGTTGTGCCTGATGGCATCTTGTCAAGTGCTGTCTTGAACAAACACACTAAATTGTTTTTTGGTGAAGTAGGTGTTATAATTGGAAGCATGAGTTGTATCTCCTGATGTTAGACAGGAAATGTTTTGATTTGGCTGTTTCTCCGGCAAGCAAACTTATTAGTGGCTCTGGTGGTTCTCATTGTTTTACTTTTCCTGCAGCACAACACATTCCTTTCGTTTCTCCAGTAAATTTCAGTGCCTTGCGGTGTGGACACACTGTTGTTAGATTGCCGATGATTACATCCCGGCTTAAACTGTAGTCCTCAACTGGGTTGTATCGGAATGCTAGGTGGTGGTATTTGTTCATTTCCTGTATACGAAGTTGGTGGCATTTGTTAATCATTCTCTGGGTGTTGTGGGAACTTAGGATTGTGGTTCGAAGGGCAGCTGTTACAGAGCACGAGAGGGGCCTTTGGTGGCTCTGAATCCTCAGGGGGCGTGAGAAACCACATCCCTGCCCGTCCTTGTCCTTGCGCTCGCTCACTGAGGGGCTTGCATGCATGTGCTGTGTCATTTTAGCATTTGTTACGATTTCTAAGTGCTTTTTACGGGGTTTTTTTTTTAATGATTGTTGGTCACATCTCACATAAATCCACACACGACTAATGCAGTGGTTCTTAAAGTGTGCTGTACTTTTTCCATCGTTTCCCTTGCCGTCAAAAGTTTTTCCCTGCCCCTCTTGCCACCAAACGCCATTTTCCTGGCTTCCCTTGCTGCCAAAAGCCTCCCCTCCTCCTTTTGCCATCAAAAGCATTTTTCTCTTGCTTCCCTTGCTGCCTAGAGCCTTTTTCCCATCTCCCTTGCCACCAAAAGCCTTTTTCCTCACCTTCCTCGCCATTCAGATCCTTCCCCCCTCACCTCCCTTGCTTCGAAAACCCTATATTGCTGGTTGAATGGCCATCTGCTGGGAGTGATTTGTCTGTCTTTTACTGAATGGCAAAAGGGGTTTAGCCTGGATGGCCCCTGATATTTTTGCTAATTATTATTATTACAAAGGCTGGGTGGCCACCTGTTGTGGGTGCCTTGTTTGTGCTTTCTTCTCGCTTCCCTTGCTGCTAAAAGCCTTTCCCTGCCCTCTCTTACTGCCAAAGGTCTTTCTTGCCTCCCTTGCTACCAAAAGCATTTTTCTTCACTTCCTTTGCTGCCAAAAGCCTTTGCCCTACCTACCTTGCCACCGAAAGCCTTTTTCCTCACCTTCCTTGCCATCCAGATCCTTTTCTCCCTCATCCCCCTTGCTTCTAAAATCCTATTTTTCTCCCACTGCTCAGGGGGTGCTTTAATTGTGCTTTTCCTGCATGGCAGAAGGGAGTTGAACTGGATGGCCCCTGGGGGTTTAATGCTGCAATAATAATAATAATAATAATAATAATAATAATAATAATAATAATAGTTATTATTATTATTATTATTATTATTATTATTATTTCAAAGGCTGGATGGCCATCTGCTGGGAGTACTTTTTTTCAATACACAAAAACACTCTCCATCCATTTGCTACTGGCCCAGCCTATCTGACAAAGTTTAAAACACAATGCATGAAAAACTTTGGCCATCCCCGATATATACACATAATGAGAAGGCATGGGGAGTGCAGGTTATTTCCAAACACCTTTTCAGCTTATGCTTCCAACACAAATTTAGGTGTTGAATGTCATCCCAAATTTATGACCCCAGCTGTTGGATATAAAGCCCTCTTTAAAAATTAAGATTAAGGTTTCCAGTTATATTTTAAATGTTTTCTATTCATGTCCAAACCTACTAAATTATGCAGAAAACTTGGGCAATAGGAGTAGATAAAAGGAAGAACGTTGTGGATTCACGATGCTTCATAAAATTTAGGGATAGAGTTGGGGTTCTGCTGGGAATAAATGTCTTCTGAAGGGTTCTATGACTGGAAAAGTTTGGGAACTGCTGGCCCAGGCCTTTCACATATAAAAAATTCTAAGATGCCATCAATTGTAAGACTCACACTAATTTCAGCACCGCCTACAGAAAAAAGCTATATGAAATAAGACCTAACCAGAAAATAAGCTCTGGCATGATGTTTCAAGATGTTTGTAAATAAGCTCTATCCTCCAAAATAAGCCCCAGTTAAGATCATCAGCCACATGGATGCATTTACGGGTAGTACAAAAATTACAATACAAGACAGACATATTGTATATTAAAATAACAATATTAATATATAATTAAATATGAATAAAATATTGACATAATATTATGATAATATCCCAGAAGATGACAAAATGACTGTATCTGAATACATGTAGATTTTTGTACATGAAAACAATAAGATATCCCCTGAAAATATGCCTTTTGGAGACAATTTTTATTTTATTTTCAGAGAAATCCAGTACATACACAACTATACCGCTGCTGAAAAAGCCCTCCTTGGATCCCCTGGACCTTAATAATTACAGAACAGTCTCTAATCTTCCTTTTTTGAGCAAAGTGATTGAGAAGGCAGTTGCCCTTCAACTCCAGGCAGTCTTGGGGGATACACACTTCCTTTTTGTGTATCCCCCAATTTTTGATTTTATTGTATATACAAATGACTAGCAAAAACAAAAATTACAATAAATAGCAAAACATATACATTGGACTTCAGAGCAGCTTTTGATTCCATCTCCCGTACCAAGCTATAGGAAAAAGTTGGGTCCACCTCAACAGACAGACAACGCCTGCAACTAATACAAACGCTCCATGAAGGAAGTACTCTGAAAGTAAGATGAATTCTCCAGGGCCATCTTACCAAAGCAGTCGAAACTGAGAAAGGAGTCAAGCAAGGGTGCATTTTGGCCCCACTATTACTAAATTCATTGAATATATATATATATATATATATATATATATATATATATATATGCATGCTCTGTGTATTCTGAGTACGTTAAAAACAAAAGAACCAATAAATCAGTGGTTCTCAATCTTGCTAATGGCGTGACCCCTTAATGCATTTCCATATGTTTTGATGACCGCCAACCATAATATTATTTTCGTTGCTACTTCATACCTGTCAATTTTAGTACTGTTATAAATCGTAGTGTAAATATCCGATAATGCAGGATGTATTTTCATTCACTGGACTAAATTGAGCACAAATACCCAATATGCCCAAATGTGAATGTTAGTGGGGTTGGGAGAAGATTCATTTTGTAATTTGGGAGTTGTAGTTGCTGGGATGTATAGTTCACCTATAATCAAAGAGCATTCTGAACTCCACCAATGAGGGACTTAAACCAAACTTGGCACACAGAACCCCCATGACCAACAGAAAATACTGGAAGGATTTGGAAAATATCTTGAGTTTTGGAGTTGTAGTTCATCAAAATACAGAGAGCACTGTCGGCTCAAGTAACGATGGATCTGGGCCAAACTTGGCACGAATACTCAATATGCCCAAATGTGAACACTGGTGGAGTTTGGGGAAAATAGACCTTGACATTTGGGAGTTGTAGTTGCTGCGATTTGAGTGAGGCGAGCCTGAGAAAGGAAAGGGCCAGCCAGTCACCAGCCACATGCTAATCCCCCCCATCCTCCCAATCCCAAACTCCTGTCACTCAGTCTGCATTGAGACCCCCAGTTGCCGGCCCTCTCCTTCCCTCCCAGTGGCAGCCAGTTCCAAGGGTCAATCCCTTGCTAGAGTCCATTGGAGTGGAGAAGAAGTATGCCCTCAGGGTGCCTCATGGGTTTCCTGGACCATCAGCCTGGCCCCCCACTGGAGGGCGGGAAGGGGACAGCAGGGCCCTTGGCCCCATCCAAGGGGTAGGGTGAGCCAGTCTCTCATGTTTTGTGGCCTTCTCTTGCCCCTTTCCAGACCTCCAGAACTACAAGGAACCTGCATGGAGGAGCCCTCTCTCAGGACTCACATCATCGAAGTGAGGCCAGCATCGAAGGTAAGGAAGTAGGCCCCTTCCTTCCAAGGGCGGGGTCAGCCTTTACCCTCCCAAACCCTGCATTGTCCAGAGAAGGGCGGTATAGCGTGGAATGGTCCTTCTGGATGCAACCTGTACTTTATGAGTGCTAGATGCATCCAGGATGGAAACAGGGGCCAATCACACACTTTTCTGTTCTCTCTATACTTTTTAGAAATATAGGCAGTCCCCAAGTTACAAACAAGATAGGTTCTGTAGGTATTCACACCTAGCCCAACTTACAAAAGCCCTTTGTCTCACCCTGGGCATTCCACAGATATATAAACCCCCTTTTTTCCCAGCTCCAGCAGACCTCACCTCTGAGGATGCTTGCCATAGATGCAGGCGAAAGGTCAGGAGAAATGCCTCTAGAACATGGCCATATAGCCCGAAAAAACCCACAAGAACTGAGTGATTCCAGCCATGAAAGCCTTCGACAATACATTAGGTTCTGTAGGTTTCTTCTTAAGTTGAATTTGTTTGTAAATCAGAACAGGTACTTTTTAAAATGTAACTCCAGCCATATCTATCTATTTATCTATTTATCTATCTTTGGATAACTTCCAATAGATGATTAATTGGGATATATATATAGATGTGTGTATATGAACAAACACACACAGATATATTGTATCATACATATCATACACACATACATATACACTTGGTCATCTTATGTCTTAATAGGAAAAGGGTGAGGATGCCCTCCTTTGACATGGCTCCTTCGGCGTCGCTGACAGGGGAATTGCCCTCAACAAAAATGGCCGTCCAAACCGATGATGGGAAAAGGCGTGCACCCTTAACCAAAATGGCCGCTCCGGCCTCGCTGACCAGCCCCTGATAGAAGAGATGGGCGGCAGTGCCCACTTCCAAGATGGCGGAGGGGGCGGCGCCATCTTGTTACCTAACGTCAGGCGGTGAGAGTTGAGAGGAGGAGAAGGAAGGAAGGAGAGTGGCGGCGGCGGCGGGAAGATGGCCGAGAGCGAGCGGCAGGCCGGTGAGCCTTCGGGGTCTCAGGAGGACAGCCAGACGCCCCCTCGGAAAGGTTGGGATAGCGGGAGCCAGCGGCCTACCTGGCGGGGCGGGCCTCACCCCTTCCCTCACTCCAACCAGGACCCCCCTGAGGGAATTACCGATGGGGTAGAGGGAGGCAGGCAGGCAGCAGTGCGCATGCGCAGGGCATGCAGGGGAAGCTGGGAAATGGAGTCCTTCCTCCTCATCGCATTGCTCCCGAGGCCTCTGCACATGCTCCGTGCTTTTGGGATATTGTGGGTTTGTGTTGTTGCGTAGTGGTGTTTTGAGGGTTGTTGGTCATACCTTGGGGGAAGAGGTATTAGCAGGGCAAATTTGGTGAGATTTCGTCTGGTGGTTTCTCCGTTTTTGACCGCCTAATTACGCCCTTAAGATTCTTATATATATATATATATATATATAGATGTTAATGTTTTTAAATTGTTTTTATGGTGTTGCTGAGCATTGAATTGCTGCCTCTGTAAACCGTCCTGAGTCGCCTGCAGGCTGAGAAGGACAGTATACAAATATAGTAAACAAATAAATAAATAAAACATAAGTAAACATTACAACAAATACCCCGAAAGCAATTAAAAATTTTGTTTTGCTGTCTATGCCCCTGTTCAGAAGATTTCACCTCACTTTCTGTCCCTGTGATAACTGGATTTTGAAAAAAAAGCTTGTTGTGGAAACAAGGATTGGAGAGAAAACTTTGATTGAGACTTTTTTTTACCAAGAGAACTCTTTCAGGAGTGAATTTCCTTTCCAAGGGGCAGATTTCTCCCACTTCCTGTTGTCTCCACCCCCATCTTAACTATGAATCTCACTGGTCTTGCTATGTGAACCAACTGCAGAATCGAGCAGTTTCTATATAAAAAAGAGAAAAGAGAGACTAGAGAACTAGAAAAGGATAAAAAAAATCAGTTGGTTTATAGTCTTTCCAATGGTCTTTCCCTAGCAACCACTGGAGGTATGATGGGGGCTGCTTCCATAGTGGAAAACCTCAAAGGTAAAGAAGGGAAGGGGGGGTAAAAGAGGGGTGGGCTCCTTCACCCCCATCTCTTTTCCTCTCCCTGCCTCTCCTTTCACCTTTTTCCTCCTTCTTTAGTCTTCCTCCCCTGGGCTGTCTTCCCATTCCTTCTCTTTTGCCCCCTCTTTCACTCATCTGCCCAACTGTCTTTTACAGGATTACGAAGAGGCAACCCTAGCAGACATCCCCTGCTTGGTTTCTGGCCTTCAAGGAACCAAACACGCTGGTACAGTAGGCCAGTATGTTACACCCAGCAGGAACCAGAGCAGCAGCTGTGTTCCTTCAGAGCAAGGAGACAGTGGGGAGGGAGGGTCAGTGGGACACCCAGCCCTTTTGGGGGGCCTGATGGGGGACTCAGACTCTCCACTGGGAAGTAAACCTTTTCTTTCCTTTTTTCCTGCAGAGAACTGGCGAATATCATCTCAGTTCTAGTGAAGAGGGTGTCCTGGGTGTCCTTCAATGAGACCTCTGAAAAGATGTTTGAAGATCCCAGCATCTGCCATGAGGGAATGGCCCTCCAGTTTGAGTAAGGAGCCAAGGGCCGGAGGAGGTTCAGGGAGGAGGCCCAATTTGTTATCTCTGACTAGCTTCCCTCACAGGAACCTCCTCAAGTCCTCTTCTTCCCTTCTCCGGCACCTGTGTTCCATCTGGAAGGCAGAAGCGCCGCTGGAGCATTTGGCCAGCGTGGTGGCCTTCTACATCCAGGCGAGAAGGGTTGGGGTTGGAAGGGGTCTTAGGGCAAGGCTGAGGAGGCAAGGAGGGGAGAGGCAGTGTTTTCCTTTCTGGCTCCAGCCCTTCACGCTTCTCCTCTTCTCTTTCAGCTGCTGCACATTGGCCAGCGCCCTCACTCCCTGGCGAAGACTTGGACACTGCTGATGACCTGGCTCCAATATCACAGCCTGGCCATCCAACATCAGAGTAGGCAGGACCTTCTCCCCCTCTGCAAGACCTACAGGGAGATGTCAGGCACAGCCCAGGGTCTACACACCACAGAGAAGCCCAGCTAGCTTTGCTCTTGTAGACAGAATGTACAAAAGGGAAGATCCTGAAAGGTTCCTTCCCCAAACAAGTGGGGAGGCCTGTGGTCAGACATTTTCTTTTGGGGACCTCTTAGGCAGGGCTGCACTTTGACTTAATCCTCCTTTCTCTTTCTTTGCAGACCTGGGCCTCCAGGAGCTGTTGGACGGGGTCCTCAGGGGGCTGCAATCCCCCCACAGCAACATCACTCTGGAGTTCCTGGACCTGGCTGGCTGGCTGGGGCCCTGCTGCAGGAGGAAGACCAGGCCCCCGTGAAGGCTTACCTGGCTGCCGGTTGTTGCCTTATCTTCCACCACATGAGTTTTGGCCCCTGGGCCTCCTCCTTGGGGAGGGAGGGGGCTGGCTTCCCCCTCCACCCAAGGCCTGGCGTTGGAGCAGCGCAGTGAGAGTATTCCACATGCTCTGTTTTTTATAGTTTACCTTATATAATTGTATAGTCTAATATTGTAATATTTAATAGTTTTTCTGATTAGAATAAATGTACCTCTTTCTTTTTAATTTGGTGCTTTATTGGATTCCTTTGGGGAAGGAGAGGGAGATTCAAACCACCCAGGACCTGCAACTCAGGCCCCATCTACACTGCCCTATAATGCAGTTCAAACTGCATTATATGGGGAGTGTAGGCTCATATAATGCAATTTAATGCAGTTAAACTGCTTTATATGAATTTACACTAACCATATAATACAGTATGAACTGCATTAAATTGACAGCATAGGTGAGGCCTAAGAGGAGATCGCCATGCTGGTGTTTAGTTTATGCAAATATTTGTGTATGTTAAGATCATATTGTGACCATGATGGCATGGTTGTGTAAATAAAATATGTATATTTTTAGAAGAACTGTTTGTGTGTGTGTTTAAAATGCTTTGCTGGGGGATACGGTCCTTGTGGAAATGCGAAACTGGGGAGAATAGCGAACCCTATCACAATAAATGACATCCTCAGTGGCTCTTTCCACATCTATTCTGACCTGTTACAATGGGCAGGAGAGAGACATTTGTCCCTTGGAAAGAAACTGTGGTTCTAGCCAGACTAAGGGTTAATTATCTCTCTTTTTCTGGCCCCAAATGGAAGGGCAGGACAATGTCTTGGCAAGCGAGCTGGGATTTGCTGGATGGGGAATTAATCGATTGATCTCGGGTCACATTGGAGGCAGATGGGGCTGACAGACAGCTGGAAAAGCTGCATGCCATTTCATCATTCACGTATATCTTTTATATCAGGGGTCCTCAAACTTTTTAAACAGAGGGCCAGGTCAAAGTCCCTCAAACTGTTGGAGGGCCGGATTATAATTTGGAAAAAAAATATGAATGAATTCCTCTGCACACTGCACATATATTATTTGTAGTGCAAAAACACTTAAAAACAATACAATAATTAAAATGAAGAACAGTTTTAATAAATATAAACGTATTAGTATTTCAAGTGAAGTGTGGACCTGCTTTTTTCTGATGAGATAGGATTGTTGTTATTGTTGTGTGCTTTCAAGTTTCAGACTTAGGTTGACCCTGAGCGAGGGCTGGTTAGATAACCTTGGAGGGCCGTATGGGGCCCTCAGGCCATAGTTTGAGGACACCTGTTCTATATAAATAAAAATGTAATGTTCATTTGTGGGATTAGCAGAACTCAAAAACCAGTGAGCCATATGCTCAAATATGAACACAGATGGAGTTTGGGGGAAATAGGCCTTGACATTTGGCAGTTGTAGTTAATGGGATTTATACAATCAAAGAGCATTCTGAATCCCACAAACGACAGAATTGGAGCAAACTTCCCACACAGAACCCCCATGACCAACAGAAAATACTTAAGACCATCCAGTCCAACTCTCTTCACCAGGACCAGAAAACGTAATCAGAGCCCTCCTGACATCGATTTGAAAGGGACACCTAAAGAAGAACAATGATATGTTGGATGTTCCAGGGTGGGCAAACCAGACAATCTCCACATCAACACTGGCAAAGACACAACAAGAAATACTGTTTACCCACAAGCAGAAAAGAATTACATATATTAGAAACCAACACTTTCTTATTACTTTACTTTCCAGATCACCAGACTGGGCCACAGCAACGTGTGGCAGGGGATGGCTAGTGTGTATATATCTGTGTATAAATGATGGAACAGTAGCCAGCTTACAGGTTCATTCACTCTAAATATCATTTTATATATGTAAGTGAGGTTTACATATCTGTGGAATGTTCATGGTGGAAGAAAGAACTTTTGTCTGCTCGAGGCATGTGTCAACGTTGCAATTTGCTACCTTGATTAGCATTTAATGGCCTTGCAGTTTCAAGTTCTGGCTCGTTGTTGCCTGGGGGAATCCTTTGTTGGGAGGTGCTAGCTGGTCCCGATTGATTCTTGTTTGGAATTCCCCTGCTTTTTTAGTGTTCTTCTTTATGTACTGTTCTGATTTAAGAGTTTTTTTTAATACTGGTAGCCAGATTTTGTTCATTTTCATGGTTTCCTCCTTTCAAGGTGGCAAATTGCAACATTTACACCTGCCTCAAGCAGATGAGTTCTTTCTCCCACCCTGGCCATTCCACAGATATATAAACCTCACTTACATAGTTTCCAACAGACCCCTCAACCTCTAAGGATGCCTGCCATAGATGTGGGTGAAACGTCAGGAGAGAATGCTTCTGGAACATGACCATACAACCTGAAACACACAGCAACCTGGAGTATAAATGATTTTCACCTTCTCAATTGGAGCCCCCGTGGCGCAGTGAGTTAAACCCCTGTGCCAGCAGGACTGAAGACTGACACGACGCAGGTTCGAATCCGGGGAGAGTGCAGATGAGCTCCCTCTATCAGCTCCAGCTCCCCATACAGGGACATGAGAGAAGCCTCTCACAAGGATGGTAAAACATCAAAATATCCAGGCGTCCCCTGGGCAGCGTCCTTGCAGACAGCCAATTCTCTCACACCAGAAGTGACTTACAGTCACTTTTGACAAGACAAAAAAATTTCTCAACTTACTGGTTATAATAGTCCAAACACAGAAATTTTCTCTATGGGGGAAAAATTAATGGACCATCACAAGCATATTCCTTAACAAGGCAGTGTTGGTAGAAGAAGAATTCATCTGCCCAAACTCTAATTGTTCTAATATGTCCAGGTTTGGAAAGGAATGATCCCAACTCTTTAAAGAATAAATAAAAATAAAGTCCAAGGCTTTCGCTATTTCCGATTTTGGGGTCTGTATTTCTTTCTGCATCAGAGAGGAAGATATCTGCAAAAGTTCCAAACTCATCATTTCCTACCCAGAGTTTAAGAAAATCCTCATCTTTGGGACTAAGGTAAAGGTAAAGGTTTCCCATTGACATTAAGGCTAATCATGTCCAACTCTGCAGGGTGGTGCTCATCTCCATTTCTAAACTGTAGAGCTGGCGTTATCCGTAGACACCTCCAAGATCATGTGGCCAGCATGACTACATGGAGCGCCATTACATTCCCGCAGAAGTGGTACCTATTGATCTACTCACATTTGCATGTTTTTGAACTAGGTTGGCAGAAGCTGGGGCTAAAAGCGGGAGCTCACCCCGCTCCCCAGATGTGAACCACCAACTTTTCAGTCAGCAAGTTCAGCAGCTCAGTGGTTTAACCTAAATACCAAGAGAAAGACATACATGTTTGCTTGATTGTATTCACTGCTTTATTTTTCTATCTCTGAGGCCCCGGACAGGATATGTTTAACGGATCTTCATCTCTGTTCTTTTGTAGGAGACACCGACTCCTTTGCCAGACGCCCAGTCAATGCCATACCTCTGACCCTTCCTCTCACCAATTGGGTAACCACCATTCAAGTTGGAACGATAGCAGTTTAAATACCACCAGGCTCCGTGCACAACAACGGCACAATTCTGTGTCCCACTGTCATTGTCTTCATCAGAGGTGGAAAAAGGGTGTCCATTATGGAACGATAGAGAATCACCTGTAGAGGAGAAGAGCACAAGGTCACTGCAGCATTGCATATATTACTTGGGGGATTAATCCTCTCTTTACCTCTTCAAGCCACCATGGTATTTTGAACAGCATAAAATAACACATTAAATGAGCAGGTCTTGAACATTTTGATGTTGTATTGTCGAAGGCTTTCGTGGCCAGAATCACTGGGTTGTTGTAGGTTTTTTCGGGCTATATAGCCATGTTCTAGAGGCATTTTCTTCTGACGTTTCACCTGCATCTATGGCAAGCATCCTCAGAGGTAGTGAGGTCTGTTGGAACTAGGAAAAAGGGTTTATATATCTGTGGAATGACCAGGGTGGGACAAAGAACTCTTGTCTGTTGGAGGTAGGTGTGAATGTTTCAACTGACCACTTTGATTAGCATTTGATGACCTGGCAGTGCCTGGGGCAATCTTTTGCTGAGAGGTGATTAGATGTCCTTGTTTGTTTCCTCTCTGTTGTTTTGCTGTTGTAATTTTTGAGTTTTTTAATACTGGTAGCCAGATTTTGTTAATTTTCATGATTTCCTCCTTTCTGTTGACATTGTCCACATGCTTGTGGATTTCAATGGCTTCTCTGTGTAGTCTGACATGGTGGTTGTTCGAGTGGTCCAGCATTTCTGRATTCTTAAATAAAATGCTGTGTCCAGGTTGGTTCATCAGATGCTCTGCTATGGCTGACTTCTCTGATTGAAGTAGTCTGCACTGCCTTTCATGTTCCTTGATTCGTGTTTGAGCAATGCTGCGTTTGGTGGTCCCTATGTAGACTTATCCACAGCTGCATGGAATACGGTAGACTCCTGCAGAAGTGAGAGGATCCCTCTTGTCCTTTGCTGAACTTAGCATTTCTTGGATGTTCTTGGTGGGTCTGTAGATAGTTTGTATGTTGTGTTTCATCAGCTTCTGCAGGAGTCTACCGTATACCATGCAGCTGTGGACAAGTCTACATAGGGACCCCCAAACGCAGCYCCCAAACACGAATCAAGGAACATGAAAGAGAAGCCTCCTATGGAAGAGATAACATTGGTCTGTGTGTTTTTGTTCCTATTATCACTTTAAGCGACTGGTGCTGGGTCACGCTGCTGCTAATAAGTTACGCTGCTGTGCATTTATGATGAGGGTCTTTTCTTAATAAGCCCACTTGCCCAATGATTACTGTTTTTGATCTGCTAGGTGAGCAGAAGCTGGGACTGATGGCAGGTGATCACCCCAACTGGAGCTTGAACTGCTAACCTTTTGATCGGCAGGATTTTCTGCTGCTTAGCGGTTTAACCCACTGTGCTACACCTGCCCCCTACTCTTTTCCTCCACTGGTGGTATATTGGTGGTCACCGGGAGGCAAGAAGGCTTGTGGTTTAGATGATCCCGTAGCGCTCCTATACTTTCACGTACCTGAATGTGAAGGGTATTTAAGAAGAAGAGCTGGCTACTCATGGTGAAATGTTAGAAGCTGGTTGATACCTTTAGGGTCAACACTGAAGTGTATTTGCTGTGTGCCATTAAGTTATTTCCGACATCTGGTGACGGTAAGGTGAACCTGTGATGGGATTTTCTTGTTCACTGGGGAAATTGCTTTTGCCCTGCTCTAAGGAAGAGTGTGACTTGCCCAAATTCACCCAGTGTGTTTTAACGACAAAGCAGGGATTTGAACCCTGGTTTTCAGAGATGTAGTCAAGTGCTAAAATCCCTACACTACTCTGCCTCTGCTCCAATCATCCAAGGATGATACTAAAGAAGGCATCTCTTTGGGTTACAACTTTGTTGTTGTTGTTCATTCGTTCAGTCGTTTCCGACTCTTCGTAACCTCATGGACCAGCCCACACCAGGGCTCCCTGTCGGCCATCACCACCCCAGCACCCTCAAGGTCAATCCAGTCACTTCAAGGATGCCATTCATCCATCTTGCCCTTGGTCGGCCGCTCTTCCTTTTTCCTTCCATTTTCCCCAGCATTATTGTATTCTCTAAGCTTTCCTTTCTTCTCATGATGTAGCCAAAGTACTTCATATTTGCCTCTAATATCCTTCCCTCCAATGAGCAGTCAGGCTTTCTTTCCTGAAGTATGGACTGGTTGGATCTTCTTGCAGTCCAAGGCGTTCTCAGAACTTTCCTCCAACACCACAGTTCAAAAACATCTATCTTCGTTCGCTCAGCCTTCCCTATGGTCCAGCTCTCACATCCAGAGGTGACTGTGGAGAATACCATTGCTTTAACTATGCGGATCTTCATTGCCAGTATGATGTCTCTATTCACTATTTTATTGGGATTGGACATTGCTCTCCTCCCAAGAAGTAAGCGTATTCTGATTTCCTGGCCACAGTCTGCATCTGCCATAATCTTTGCACCTAGAAATAAAAAGTCTGTCACGGCCTCCACATTTTCTCCCTCTATTTTCCAGTTGTCAATCATTCTTGTTGCCATAATCTTGGTTTTTTTTATGTTTAGCTGCAGCCCAGCTTTTGCGCTTTCTTCTTTCACCTTGATTAGAAGGCTCCTCGGCTCCTCCTCGCCTTCGGCCATCAGAGTGGTGTCATCTGCATATCTGAGGTTGTTAATGTTTCTTCCAGCAATTTTCACCCCAGCCTTGCATTCATCAAGCCCCTGCACATCGCATGATGTGTTCTGCATACAAGTTGAATTGGTTGGGTGAGAGTATACAACCCTGCTGGATGCCTTTCCCAATCTTGAACCAGTCTGTTCTTCTGTGGTCGGTTCTTATTGTTGCTACTTGGTCCTTATACAGATTCCTCAGGATGAGAGACAAGGTGATTTGGTATGCCCATACCACCAAGAACTTGCCACAATTTATTATGATCCACACAGTCAAAGGCTTTAGAATAGTCAATAAAACAGAAATAGATGTTTTTCTAAACCCAGCTTGTGCATCTGGCAACTCTCGATCCATGTATTGCTGGAGTCTTCCTTGCAGGATCTTGAGCATTACCTTACTGGCATGAGAAATAAGTGCCACTGTACGAAAGTTTGAGAAGTCTTTAGCATTTCCCTTTTTTGGTATGRGGATATAAGTTGATCAGGATGTTAGAGAGAGGAAAAGACCTTGGCGAAATTTAAGTTCTTATGAAACCACACCACCTCAGAAAGAGTGTGGCTCAACTCATAGTAAAAATGTCTTTGCATAAGAGGTGCGATGCAGAGCATGATATTAATATTTTAAYAAAGGTACAGTTAAATATATAGGAGGTATCAGAACAAGTGAGCATCATATTTCAGGAAAYTGAAGTCTCTCACCTGCAGAACCACCCAGGAATGCCCCCAGGACAAGCCCGTATTTCTCATCTTCTCCCTTGAGCTGGAAGGACTGGTAATGAGCAAATGTTTTGCGGTCATCGAAGTCAACCAAGTCCACGCGGAGCTGGTGCTGCCCTAAGGAAAAGAGGGCAAAAGATCAACATAATTTCCTGTYGTCYCAATCTGTGCATCAATATTTTGAAAAAGCAAAAAGAACCTACTGTATATTGGAATAGCAATGTGGGTGACAACATACTTGAATTTGAGGCTTGAGTTTTGGCAGTTGGGATTTGTCAGTTGGGAGTTAGGTAGTCAGTTGGTGTTCACAGTTGGATAGTACTAGATAGGAAAATTGGGTTAATATTTTGTAGTATTCAAGGGCTAGTGGAATTAGACAGGAATACTGACAGTGGGAACAGGACCTTGCTTATGGTCTGTTTGTTTTATTCCTGAGGAAGGCTTGACCAAGGTTGTTTGGCTAGATTCCAGAAAGTGGGAATTTAGTTTGGAATTATCATCAGAGATTAATTTCCTGAGATAATCTCCTGTTTGTTAACTCTAGAWTTGAACCCAGTACCCATCTAAGAATTGTACAGCTTTTGTGCCATACATTTACAGAAACCATTATGCATTYGTACCAGAAGAGTTTAAGCCTGTTAAATAAACATTTTGTTATAGTTAACACATTACAACAGCCTGTGTGTGAACGTCATTGGTATTTAAAACCACTGAGGAAAATAAACACCATAGTAACACAGAAGGGTGTTACTAAGTATCCTCTCCACACATATAATTCAGCCTGAATACTAAATAAATGTGGCAGCGTACCCCAATTGAAGAAACAGTTACAAAACTTCTTAATTCAGACATCATTCAAATATAGCTATACAGTTATATCTTTCCCTGTCTGATAAAGTCAAATTATTTTAAAATCTTCTCTACTATTCGGCCTTCCTCTCCTGATAGACTTTATACCATATAATGCAGTTAGGTGTAGTCCCAAACTGCATTATAGGCAGTGTAGATCCAGCAATTGTTGGAAATCGCAACCTTTTACAAGACTCATATACTAGTTATTTATTTGTATATAATTCAGATTGCTTACTGTATTGTATATGTGTGTATTGGTATGCAGTTTTCCTTAACTCTATGTTGTGGGAGGGACTGGATACCATGTGATCAGATCTGGGACTGTTCAGATCTCAGACTCCATCTTAGAAGTCAGTAGAAACTCAATGCTTTAGAGACTATCAGACTCTCAGACCAGAGCAATGCTTTAGACTTTAGATTGTTGATTATAAGAAAGAGGCTCTGTGTTTATTTATTTCGTATCAAAAGCATTGCATAAATTAGTATAAAACCGATAAAAATAGAAGGAGTGCAGGTGGCTAAATATCTTTTGACCAAAAATGGGCAACAGCAATGGCATTGTCTGTAGCCTCCAACAATTCTTCCTCTGTACATGAGGCAAGGCATAGTGGACAAGCATACAGATGCGGAGTTATCTGTTCTGCTCCACAGTCACACAAGGTGTGGGATTCTTTTAGGTAGTGCCATTTTGCCAGATTGTCTTTTGATCTGCCCACTCCACTTCTGAGTCTGTTCAGGGACTTCCAAGTTGCCCATTCTTGGTTTGCCCCTGGAGGAAGACCCTTGTGGGGGGGGGGGGCATCCATTTGGGGTTTTCTGGTTTAGCTGCCCAGAGAGATACCCTTGCTGTTGCTGGGGGGACGCCAAGAGGAGTGGTAGTTCTCATAAAGCTTTTCCTTGATTTGAGTCTACTGGGAGGAGGCTGGTAGCCATGTAGTGGATGACTTTCACAGTGTTCAACCTTATTTCTCTCACATTTAGCAGCAACTTCCCATCGTACATCGGGGGGGGGGGGGGGCAATGCCAGCTAGATTGTAGAGTATATCAACAGGTGTAGGTTTAAGACACCCTGTGATTATTCTGCATGTTTCATTCAATGCTATGTTCACCTGTTTTGCATGGGCAGACCTATGCCAGACAGGGCAGGCATACTCGGCAGTTGAGTAAGACAAGACTAAGTCTGATGTTCTTATCAGTTTGTTCTCCAATGGGATTTTGGCCTGCATCAGTAGGGGTATACTGCCTACATCCAGGGAAGTCATGCTATCCCTCTATTCTGCCCTGGTTAGACCACATCTAGAATACTGTGTCCAATTCTGGGCACCACAATTAAAGAGAGATGTTGACAAGCTGGAATGTGTCCAGAGGAGGGCGACTAAAATGATCAAGAGTCTGGAGAACAAGCCCTATGAGGAGTGGCTGAAAGAGCTGCGCATGTTTAGCCTACAGAAGAGAAGGCTGAGAGGAAACATGATGGCTATGTTTAAGTATTTGAGAGGAAGTCATAGGGAGGAGGGAGCAAGCTTGTTTTCTGCTACCCTGGAGACTAGGATACGGAACAATGGCTTCAAACTACAAGAAAGGAGATTCCAACTGAACATTAGGAAGAACTTCCTGACTGTGAGAGCCGTTCAGCAGTGTAACTCTCTGCCCCGGAGTGTGGTGGAGGTTCCTTCTTTGGAGGCTTTTCAACAGAGGCTGGATGGCCATCTGTCAGGGGTGCTTTGAATGCAATTTTCCTGCTTCTTGGCAGGGGGTTGGACTGGATGGCCCATGAGGTCTCTTCCAATTCTATGATTCTATATCCACATATCTGTAGCTCACAGGGTTTTAAAAAAAATGCTGGTTTCTGGCGGAAGGCCCGCGGCGGTCATTTTGGGAGCCTCTAAATCTCGAAACAAAACATCAAATCTGGACAACGAAGGCAGAAATCCCGGGACCAACAGGCCTGTATGTGGATCTCTCCTGAAGTCCTGGGAATTTCTGCCTTTCACTAAAACTTGTGATTTAGTACTGTCTGGAAGCGCCCTAGGGTCCATTACCTTCACGAGTCAGAAGATGGATGTTCTCATTACCCAGCCAGAATTCTGATAGTTGGTTCCCAAAACCTTTCTTGTACGCATTCCAGGTGCGATAAAAGTCAACGGAACCATCCTGTCGCCTTTGAAACACCTGATAAAAGAGGGATAAGAAGCCAAGTTGATGGAGGAATCAAGGACCATTTGTATTTGTTTTGCTCAACTATTGAACCTAATCAAGCTTGGAGTATGTCCACACAAAAGCCCACCTCTCATTTCCCTGGACTCCAGCTAAATGCATTCTGATATTTCTTTGCATCTGAAAGTAAAATGACTTGACCAGCCCAAAAAGGCACTATGTGATTTGGCTTGAGAAAGGGGGTACTACTTGCCATTCCATCTTAGACACCATAATACCTTGCTCTGAACCTGAGTCTACCAGGAAAATTGCATTCAAACAGTGACAGTGCCCAACCTGGGCCCATTACTTAATTAGGCGATCCCTCGTTGTCCGAGTAGGATAGTCTTCCAAGATCAGTGTACTAGCGGTGGGTCCGTAAATGACTGTGGAGCCCTATTCTTGATCTGCATCTTCTCTCGCCGAGAGGGCATTGGTTTCCAGGTGGAAGGCGGTCCCGGTCAGGGTTGGCTTGATGCGCTTCCTCCTGGCACGTTTCTCTCCACCCTCCACTTGGGCCTCCTCGAATTCTGCAGCACTGCTGGTCACAGCTGACCTCCAGCTGGAGCGCTCAAGGGCCAGGGCTTCCCAGTTCTCAGTGTCTATGCCAGAGTTTTTAAGGTTGGCTTTGAGGCCATCTTTAAATCTCTTTTCCTGTCCACCAACATTCCGTTTTCCGTTTTCTTGAGTTTAGAGTAGAGTAACTGCTTTGGGAGACAGTGGTCAGGCATCCGGAGAACGTGGCCAGTCCAGCGGAGTTGATGGCGGAGGACCATCTCTTCAATGCTGGTGGTCTTTGTTTCTTCCAGCACACTGACATTTGTCTGCTTGTCTTCCCAAGAGATTTGCAGGATTTTCCGGAGGCAGCACTGATGGAATTGTTCCAGGAGTTGCATGTGACGTCTGTAGACAGTCCACGTCTCACAGGCATAAAGCAGGGTTGGGAGGACAATAGCTTTATAAACAAGCACCTTGGTATCCCTACGGATGTCCCGGTCCTCAAACACTCTCTGCTTCATTCGAAAAAAGCTGCACTCACAGAGCTCAGGTGGTGTGTATTTCGGTGTCAATGTTGACTTTTGTGGAGAGGTGGCTGCCAAGGTAGTGGAAATGGTCACCATTTTCTAATGTTACACCATTAAGCTGCATTTCTGGCATTGGAGAGGGATTGGCTGATGACTGCTGGAAGAGCACTTTGGTTTTCTCAATGTTCAATGACAGCAAGCTTCTCATATGCTTCTGCGAAGGTGTTTAGAGTGGCTTGTAGATCTTCTTCTGAATGCGCACAGACATTGTCATCAGCATACTGGAGTTCTATAACAGATGTTGTTGTAACCTTGGTTTTGGCTTTCAGTCCGCTGAGATTAAACAGCTGGCCATCTGTCCGATAGATGATTTCCACTCTGGTGGGAAGCTTCCCATCAACAAGGTGAAGTATCTTGTTGACGGGAACAAGTTGTGCAGTGAATATCATGTCCACTGTTCCTCTGGAGGGGCGGAAGCCATTCTGGGATTCTGGGATGATGTCTTCTGAGAGGGGTAGGAGGCGGTTCGCAAGGATTCTTGAAAGGATTTTCCCAGCGGAGGTTAGAAGGGAGATACCTCGATAGTTTCCGCAGTCTGTTCTTTCCCATTTTTGAAGACTTGACCAGCCCAAGAAGGCTCTGTGTGATTTGGCTTGAGAAAGGGGGTACTACTTGCCAGTCCATCTTAGACACCTTGCTCTGAACCTGAGTCTACCTGTAACAGTGACAGTGCCCAACCTGGGCCCATAGCAAGGTGCACAGTACCCGAGACAGAAACATCCTGTAACATTTGTAATAGCAAAATAGGAGAGCACAGAATTAAATATCTAAGCATATTCGTATCAGCTGCCTGGCCCTCCATCAACCTCACCCTGTCTAAGGGTAGGGCTGGGTCTGCTTTGATACTAATTAGACCTGACTACTTTTAATGCCGTGGGGCTTATAGTATTTATTGTAACCACTTGTACATCTATTGACTGGAACCCCTTCTACACTGCCATATAAAATCCACATTATCTGCTTTGAACTGGAATAAATGGCAATGCAGACTAAGATAATCCAGTTCAAATCTCATAATGATAACCTGTATTATCTGGCATTGTAGAAGGGGCCTGAGATGCATATAAACTCTAGAATTAACACAGTTTAATAGCACTTTAACTGTCATGGCTCAATGCTATGGAGTCCTAGGATTTGTAATTTTGTGAAATATTAACACTTGTGGCAGAGAAACCTAAAGTCCTGATAAAACTATGACTCCAATGATTCCATGGTAGTTAAAGTGGCATCAAACAGTATTAACTCTACAGTGCAGATGAATACTGAGATGCTGGCTGGGGGACTATGGAACCTTTAGTGCAAAAAAAAAGTGCATTTCCAAATTGTCTACGTGATGATAATTCATAATTGTGGATGAAAACAATCAAGATATACACACACACACACACACACACACATACTTCATATATTTATATCCCACCCTTCTCCTCACAAGTGGGACTCAGCGTGGCCTCACATGAGCATCAGAGGATGCTAACAGCATAAATACCATAAAAATTACAATTCACAATAAAATCATTTTAAAACATTATACAACATCATCAGTAAAATTTAACAATAAATTAATAGATTAACGTGCCAGTAAAACCAAGCCGAGCCGGGAGAATCCAGATCGCAAAATCCAAATTTCCAAATTTCCTTTTTCTATTGCCGCTGGCCTCTAATCGAACGCCTGGCCCCAGAGCCAGGTCTTCAGTTGTCTTCTAAAGGACAGGAGGGAGGTGGTCAACCTGATGTCCTTAGGGAGACCCACATTTGCGAGAGTGGTGGGATCGAGAGCAGGGCCTCTCCTGATGATCTTAAGCTTCGTGATGGTTCATAGCAGGAGATACGTTTGGACAGATAATCTGGGCCAGAACCATTCAGGACTTTAAAGGTTAAAAGAATCCTGCGGAACCCCACAAGTCAATGGTTATGGGGACAAACAGGTGTCCCCCAGCAACACCTTCTGGGACCTACCCTCCAGGAAGGACGAGCCACTGCAGAACAGTACCCCCAAGTCCCATATCCCTGAGGCGTCACAAAAGGAGACAATATGGAAGGCCGCTGAGAGGTCCAGCAGAATCAACAGGGACACACTCCCCCTGTCTAGTTCTCGGCATAGATCATCTACCAAGGCGACCATTGTCTAGTTCCCGGCGTAGATCATCTACTGTATTGAGGAGGTGCATATTTCAGGCCCCATCTACACTGCCATATAAAATCCAGATTATACGCTTTGAACTGGATTGTATGGCACTGTAGACAGGTTGGATCTACATTGGCATATAATCAGATAATCTGGATTTTATGTGGCAGTGTAAATAGGGCCTAATATAACCCAGTTCAAAGCACATAATCTTGATTGTCTGATTTGATAATCTGGATTATACAGCAGTGCAGATCCAGCCTCAGTTTCACATAGGCCCCTTCTACACTACCATATAAAAGCCAGATTATCTGCTTTGAACTGGATTAAATGGCAGCAAAGACTCATATAATCCAGGTCGAAGCAGATCATGTGGATTATCTGCTTTCCTAATCTGGATTTTATGGCAATGTAAAAGGGGCCATAGAGAGGCAGGAAAGTACCCATGCAGAGCCTGGAAACCCTGCAAAATGTTCATAAGGTAAAATCCAAACCAAGCAGAGCAAACTTGTCCTTGGCAACATTGTGCACACTCACCAGCCACCCGCCTCCATCCGTGTCCATGTCACAGAAGACCCTCAGTGGTTGGCAGTCAGGCAAGTAGATGGTGTGCCAGCCACTCAGGAACTCCCCTTTGCTCAAAAGCTCAATGCAGCTCCGGGGTCCTGGTGGGATATTTAGCCAAAGGTTGAGATGCAGCATAGCAGTAGCCAGAAAGGGAAATCAGCAAGCAAGGAATCACAAGTGTTGAAACAATTTTTTTCCATGTATCTCCTGTGGTTTCCATTTAATTCTGTCTAACGTGTTGGAGCATGTAAAAATCAGGTGGTGAGTGTGTTAACTGAAAAATGCAAAGCACGAAGCTGATTGGGTGGGCTATGCCCAAAAAGCTAGCTGAGCCTGGGAGTTTTGGCAACAGTTACATGCCTAGGTTCTCTGTGCAGGAGCTTACCAACACAGTTTGTATTTTTTGCTTCTGGGCTGCTGGGAGAAGATCCTTCACATGGACACCTAAGGACCATTTGAATCTCTCTCAAAGGACATTGTGTGAGTCAATGCAACTGTTCACATGACTGCATGTATGTTGCATAACAAAGCGTAAACACCTTATTCTTTACTGATCATCTGCATGGCATATCTTTTCTCTAGCAAGACATTGTGTGGATTGGTAAAGATGTGAATTATGCGTGATTTTCATTCCGCAACATAAAGGCCTTATTCACATGCCAAACACACAGAAGTCTGGAGACTTATGTTTCTGTACGGCCAAGATCCTACTTTCTAGACCAGGGGTTCTCCAGCTTTTTTTGAAGGGAAAGTTTCTTGTGGAGCCCCAAGAAATGAAATGAAGTGCAACCATCTGGGGCCGCTTGAAGTGTTAAGCATGTTAACTGCCATGGCTCAGTCCTATGGAATCCTATATATTTATTTATTTCGTATCAAAAACATTGCATAAATTAGTATAAAAATGGATAAAAATAGAAGGAGCACAGGCAGCTAAATATCTTTTGACCAAAAACAGGCAACAGCAGTGACATTGTCTGTAGTCTCCAACAATTCTTCCTCTGTACATGAGGCAGGGCACAGTGGACAAGCATACAGATGCGGAGTTGTCTGTTCTGCTCCACATTCACACAAAGTGTGGGATTCTTTTAGGTAGTGCCATTTTGCCAGGTTGTCTTTTGATCTGCCCACTCCACTTCTGAGTCTATTCAGTTGCCTGTTCTTGGTTTGCCTCTGGAGGAAGACCCTCGCGGGGGGCCATCCAGTTGGGATTTCCTGATTTAGCTGCCCAGAGGGATACCCTTGCTGTTGATGGGGGGACACCAAGATGAGTGGTAGTTCTCATAAAGCTTTTCATTGATTTGAGTCTACTGGGAGGAGGCTGGTAGCCATGTAGTGGATGGCTTCCACAGTGTTCAACCTTATTTCTCTCACATTTAGCAGCAACTTCCAGTCGCACATCAGGGGGGCAACGCCAGCTAGCTTATAGAGTTTATCAACAGGTGTAGGTTTAAGACATCCTGTGATTATTCTGCATGTTTCATTCAATGCTATGTTCACCTGCTTTGCATGGGCAGACCTATGCCAAACAGGGCAGGCATACTCGGCGGTTGAGTAAGACAAGGCCAGGGCTGATGTTCTTACTAATTTTGGATCTGCACCCCATGTGCTGCCAGTAAGTTTCCACAGAATGCTATTGCATGCAGCAACATGGAATCCTGATGTGTAAGCTGGTGATGAAGCTGGAAAACTTGAAGTTTCAGCGACCCCGCAGATACTGAGGGAAAAGGCCTGACAAGTTCCGCTAACTGCAAATTTTAACGGTTAGCAGACTGACAACAGTGAGACACTCTTTGGAAAACTATACCTTTCATGATTCCACAGCATTGAGCCGTGGTAGTTAAAGTGATGTCAAACTGCATTAAGTTCACAGTGTAAATGTATTTAAATCCTATGAGCTGTGCTTCGACTAAACCACCAATTGTAATGATTAGGCCCATTACACACTTTATGACACAATTCTAAGTATTGTGTAAATCTATATAAATAAGAATGTAATGTTCGTTTGTGGGATTAACAAAACTCAAAAAACACTGGACGAATTGCTGGCAAATTTGGCCACAACACACCTACTAACCCAAGGAGTGACCATCACTCTAAAACATTGATTTTGTCATTTAGGAATTATAGTTGCTGGGATTTATAGTTCACCTACAATCAATGAGCAATCTGAACTCCACCAATGATGGAATTGAACCAAATGTGACACACAGGACTCCCATGACCAACATGGGCATTGATGAGCATTGACCTTGAGTTTGGGAGTTGTAGTTCACCTACATCCAGAGAGCACTGTGGACTCAAACAATGATGGATCTGGATCAAACTTGGCATGAATACTCAATATGTCCAAATAAGAACACTGGTGGAGTTTAGGAAAATAGACCTTGACATTTTGGAATTGTAGTTACTGGTGTTTATAGTTCTCTTACAGTCAAAGAGCATTCTGAACTCTACCAATGACAGAATTGGGGCAAACTTCCCACACAGAATCCCCATGACCAACAGAAAATACTTAAGGCGTTCCAGTCCAACTCCCTTCACCAGGGCAAGAAAACGTAATCAAAGCCCTCCTGACAAAGAGCCATCCAGCCATAGATATAGATAGATATGATTCACACACAGAGAGAGAGATATAGTATGATATATTTGAAGGTGACTCCTAAAGAAGAACAATTATATGTTGCATGTTCCAGAGTAGGCAAACCAGACAATCTCCACATCAACACTGACAAAGAAACAGCAAGAAATACTGTTTACTCAACAAGCATAAAGAAATTACATATATTAGAAACCAACACTTTCTCATTACTTTATTTTCCAAATCAGCAGACTGGGCCACAGCAACGTGTGGCAGGGGACGGCTAGTAAAGGAAAGTAGATCTGTGGGGTTTCAAAGTCTGGCTATTCTTTTCAAGAAAGGACAATTGCTGAAGGCTTTGGAAAACTCGCAAATGTTTCCTTCCTTTATTGCTTGCAGCCCTGAGGCCCCTTTTTGGATGTCAGCGGTTGAAGAGAGGCATAGGAACATTTGGGAGCATTTTCTTGAAGGAAGAAGAAGGAAGCTTACCATTTTGGCAGAGGGACGAATGGTCCGGTGCTTCACCTGGTATTTAAAGAAACCAAATGCATTACTGAAAGCAAAGCATAATACAGAGGTACTCATTGGTCATGAGCCTACATCAAGGCAACATCAGGTGAGAGTTTTTGATTCATTGGACTACACTTTGGACTGAATAAACAAGTCTATGATTTGATTCTGTGAAGCAAGTGAACCAAGGCAGCAAAAGTGTTGGAAGCAAATGCACAACTAATTGCACAGATGCACCCATGTTCACATCCACACATAATGCACAACTTGGCTCGCACAACCTCTATCTCAGGGGTCCTCAAACTAAGGCCCGGGGGGGCGAATACAGCCCTCCAAGGTCATTTACCCGGCCCTCGCTCAGGGTCAATCTAAGTCTGAAATGACTTGAAAGCACACAACAACAACAACAATCCTTTCTCATTAGCCAAAAGCAGGCCAACACTTCCCATTGAAATACGAATAGGTTTATATTTGTTAAAATTGTTCTTCATTTTAATTATTGTATTGTTTTTAAGTGTTTTTGCACTACAAATAAGATATGTGTAGTGTGCATAGGAATTCATTCACGTTTTTTTTCAAATTATAATCCGGCCCTCCGCCCTGAAATATTTCTGCTAGGAATTACAGACGAGAAAATGGAACATAATAAGGACAAACTTCTATTTCTTGCCACAACGGCCACAAGAATATGCTACGCCAGGAAATGGCAAAAGGAAGACATACCCAAGACAGAAGACTGTCAAATTATAATCTGGCCCTCCAACAGTTTGAGGGACTGTGACCTGGCCCTCTGTTTAAAAAGTTTGAGGACCCTGCTCTAACTGAATATAGACGTTCCACCCTACACATAAGTCCGGGTTTTTTTTTTTTGGTACTGTAGATAAGCCCTCTATCGGCAACTCCTGCATTGAATAGTTTACTAGTATTGATTTGAATATCTTCAAGCATTCATAGAAAAGTCACATGCCCGTTGCCATATTTAATCCTGTTTTAATTTAATCCCTCTGTTCTGCCTTGGTCGGACCACATCTGGAATACTGTGTCCAATTCTGGGCACCACAATTGAAGGGAGATGTTGACAAGCTGGAATGTGTCCAGAGGAGGGGCGACTCAAAGGATCAAGGGTCTGGAGAACAAGCCCTATGAGGAGCAGCTTAAAGAACTGGGTGTGTTTAGCCTTCAGAAGAGAAGGCTGAGAGGAGTCATGATGGCCATGTATAAATATGTGATAGGAAGTCATAGGGAGGAGGGAGCAGGCTTGTTTTCTGCTGCCCTGGAGACTAGGATGCAATGAAACAATGTCTTCAAACTACAGGAAAGGAGATTCCACCTGAACATTAGGAAAAACTTCCTGACTGTGAGAGCTGTTCAGCAGTGGAACTCTCTGCCCCAGAGTGTGGTAGAGGCTTCTTCTTTGGAGGCTTTTAAACAGAGGCTGGAGCCTCTGGGGTGCTTTGAATGCAATTTTCCTGCTTCTTGGCAGAATGCGGTTGGACTGGATGGCCCACCAGGTTTCTTCCAACTCTGTGATTCCATGATTCTTATGTTCACATATTTGTATATGCTTTTATGTTAAGCTGATTTGCGTCCCCTTCAGGGGACATTGAGTGGTGTATAAATTGTTAGGATTCAACTCCACACTGCCCAAGTGTCAAGTCCTCAATGAGGAACACTTTAGTTAGCTTAGAATAGTCTGAGAGCTTCCTCAAGTATCCTGTATGACAGTTGGGGATATATATCTATTTCTTTTCTCCTCTCTGTTTCTGCTCCCATTCTGATTGCTTGTTTAAACTGGATACTTTTCTTCTGCAAGCTTTTTGAATCATACTTTAGTATGGAGAGTATGTGCTGTGTGCTGTGTGCTTTGAGATAACTCTCTGCTTGTGAGTTTTTCCCTCTCTTAGAAAAGATGGGTGTTAGAGTAGCTCAGACGGAGTTCTTGATTATTAAGAAATGCAGTTATTTCTTATTATTGTAAATAAATCTTTTGTGATTTTTTTTAAAAGATTGGACTCTGCATCTTGCCTGTCTAAGCTCTAAATTCTTTACAGCCACATCACACGGCACTTCATGCTCTGCTCGCAAATGAAGTGAATGCTCAACTTTTCTATCCTGCTTGATTTTGGGATTATCTGCTATATTTTAGGGTAGTTTTCCCAAACATAAATATTATAAATATAATAATAATAATAATAATAATAATAATAATAATAATAATAACAACAATAATAATAACACAATCCAGAGCAGAAGAGAAAACTGGGAAAAGAAGGCACTCCATGGACAGTTTCTGGCAAAAATTGAGAGCCAAATTGACAAAGAAAAAACATGGCTGTGGCTCACAAATGGAACTCTGAAAAAGGAGACGGAGGGCCTGATTCTGGCAGCCAAAGAACAAGCCATTAGAACCAATGCCATCAAAGCCAGAATTGAAAAGTCGACAACAGATCCCAAATGCAGACTCTGCAAGGAAGCAGATGAAACAATAGATCACATCCTCAGCTGCTGCAAGAAGATCGCGCAGACAGACTACAAGCAGAGGCATAACACCATTGCTCAGATGATTCATTGGAACTTGTGCTACAAATACCATCTGCCTGTGACAACTAACTGGTGAGATCACAAGCCGGAAAGAGTTACAGAGAATGAACACACCAAACTCCTCTGGGACTTTCGGATTCAGACAGACAGAGTTTTGGAGCATAATACTTCTGACCTCACAATCGTGTTAAAAAACAAAGTATGGATCGTCGATGTCTCAATCCCAGGTGACAGCAGGATTGCAGAGAAACAACTGGAAAAGCTGACACGATATGAGGATTTAAAGATCGAACTGCAAAGACTCTGGCACAAGCCAGCAAAGGTGGTCCCAGTGGTGATCGGCAAACTGGGTGCAGTGCCTAAGGACCTTGGCCTGCACTTAAACACAATTGGTGCTGACAAAATCACCATCTGTGAGCTGCAAAGGCCACCTTACTGGGATCTCCACACATTATTCGCCGATACATCATACAGTCCTAGACAATTGGGAAGTTTCCGACGTGTGATCCAATTCAACAGCCAGCAGAGTGTCTGCTGTGGAGTCACCTTATTGTGTTTCAAATAATAATAATAATAATAATAATAATAATAATAATAATAATAATTGAACTGCAAAGACTCTGGCACAAACCAGTCAAGTTAGTCCCAGTGGTGATCAGCACACTGGGTGCAGTGCCTAAGAACCTTGGCCTGCACTTAAACACAATAATAATAATCTGAATTGTTATGGGTTTTTACCCCACTGTATTACCCCACTGTATTGCTGAACTGCAGAAAGCGGACCCTAATCAACTACCACTTAGAATACAGTAAAAATACTATAGGACAAGATCAAAAGCGTCATATTAGAAACATGGAAGAGCAAAAATGATATTTAGTCCACTGAGCTATGACACATACCAAACAACTTTTCAAAGTCCCTTAAACTTGTGACAAAATAAATATCAGGCCCGGTCACATACATTTCATTCAGTGTAAGGAAAAGACAAGTTACTTCTGCCAAACCCACTCATAGAAACTGACCGGACAGGCAGCCAAATGTTTCTGCTATCAAGGTGACTGTGTTTGCCACCACACCTGAGAACAGCAGGCTAGCGTGGGTAATGGAGAGTCCGTTGCAGAATACACCCAACTCTGTTGCCCAGCTTTGCCTTCAGTCTCCTAATTCTGCCTATTGAGCCAGCAGGCAGCTGTTGTTGAGGAAACACAGGTTCAATTTCCCTTGTGTGTATTGATGTAGCAATCTACAGTGGAGCAGTGGAGCTGCTTCAATAGGAGCATAACATGGCCCTATTGAAGCAGCTCCACTGGCTGTCAATAAGTTTCTCGTCCGAATTCAAAGTGCAGGCTATCACCTATAAAGCCCTACACCAGTGGTTCTCAACCTGGGGGTCGCGACCCCCAGAGGGGTCATTTTGCAATTCTCGAGGGGTCGCAGACCTGCCTCCTTAGGCCCCGCCTCCTTGTGCAGGCCCCATGCATCATCCTCAGAGTGCTAAAAAGGCTTTGAGAGGCCTAGACCTTCTCCAGGCATTGGCAAGCGTGTGGGGAAAGAGGGCTGGTGGAGAGAGCTCACGCCCAGGGGCCGGTGCAGGAAGCATGCTCTCTGCCTCCGCGCGCTTGCCAATTCTGGAAGGGTGATGTGCTCCGGCGTTGACCTACATGCCGGGAAGAAGGCTGGTGCAGGGTACACGCTTCCTGCGTTGGCCCTGGGCGCGCGCTCCTTAAACTGGCCGGGTTTGGTCCATGTATGTTATTTGTGGGAGTCTCAGCGGTCTGTGGAAGTCAGAGCTGAGTCACTACCTACATGGCAATGCAGACTCATATAATCCAATTCAAAGCAGATGATCTGGCTTCAGAAACTGGATTATATGACAGTGTAGATCCAGTCTAAGAAACTCTAGGTGCTTTGGTGTGACTCCATCCTCTACACTAGAACCACACTATTCTACAAATACCACCTGTAAAGGCAGTATCAACACTAACCCCTTATCTTGGGGCTGATCTGGTATGCTGTATGCCAGATCAATTTGTGGATCTTTTATACTGCCCTACAGGACCCAAAGATTCAAAGAGAAATCATATTACCCAAATGCATGAATATTCAAACTCGCCAAAGTCAAAATCACAAAAGTGGAGAGCCTAGTCTTTGAAGGGCCACAATGTTGTTATTTTCTCTACAAGCCAACAAACATGGCAACCATTCTTGAGTTCTTCCTTTGCGGGCAATTGCTGTTAGGATTACCTCGTTCTCCCTTTGGTCCTTGTTTCCCAGGTGGCCCCATATCTCCTGAAAAAGAAAAACAACTCTATGAGGACTCTGTGAGTGCCAGTGGTGAAAAAAATAGGACTGGGAAACACAAAGAAGCCCAAAAGTACTTAGAAAATACTGTGAGATTGATGAAAAAAATGTTTCAAAGGTCATCACAAAATTAGGGGGCACCAATGTTTCATCTGTAAAGTGTTTCTAAAATATCATTAGCGAGAATGCCATTACTATAATGAGAGTAACGGAATTGTGACGGCGCGAGTGGCGCCACCTATATGTAGAATTTAATTTGCAAAGGTTTAAACTGTATAACATGCCCAAACTTGCCTAGTTTGTAAATGTATGGTTGGATTGATTGGTTATTTATAGCTGTCAATCAATGTTGTTTGCACCAGTTATATTGCTTCCTCAGCTCAATTGCTTGGTTCCACCTCTTCCTGGAGGAGAGCAGAGCTTTTCCTTTTCCATTCTACCATCAAACTTTCTATCAGATAGACGTGAGAAAGAGACTTGGCTCTAAAGCCCTTAATTAAGTTACCTCTCATCACCAATTCTAAGGTTTTTACCCTTGGGACTCATACTTCATGCCCAGATCACCCTGGACAACGTTGAGGAGACCCAAGCGCCTTCAAACCGGTCCTGTGGCATCAGAGGAAGGCTTTGTGTCTTCAAATATAGACCATTTGGATTGGGGCTGTGAATATTCAGGCATTTACAGCCATTGGGAAAGAGTGAACCTGGAAAAGCTTCTCAGCTGTGAAATTTCCTTGGACCCAAGACAACCAGAGACTGTAATGTATATTTCCTTTACCCCCTTTGAAACTTCCAGCTTATTGCCTTAAAGGGATAACTCTTTGTGAACAATAAAAACCTATTTTGAGTTATCTACAGTGTTTTGGTCCTTGGAAGTTCCAGTTTCCTAAAGGAGGGCAAGAAGCAATCCCCTGGGGGAAAGATGTCACGTCTATGTTTATTTCACTAAGAGTTATAGCCTCCAGGCGTGACGGCATAGGAATTTTGTTACTTTTTCGTTATAGTAATTGTGCAAGTGAGGAAACTTCAGGGGGCCCTTTCTCCCTCCTTTTTATAGCTATTGGGGTGAAACTTGCTGCAATGATAGGATACATTTAACCACTGTTAGCCCATAAAGTTTCAGAACTTTTCACATACCCACGGATTTTCAGGGAATTTTCAAAGTTTTTATAAACAACATTTAAAAACAACTACAAGAGCGATCTCCTTGAATTTTCTATACAATGATACAAGATAACAGGGGATCATTCCCCTCAGCTTTCAAAAATATTCATACATCTACCAATTATAGGGAATTTTTAAAAGTTTTGACAAAAACGTTTTAAAAAAACTACAACAACTATCTCATTTAATGTTTTTCTCTCATATTAACCAATAGAACTTCCATGTGGGGATTTCTTCCCAGCACAAAGATTTACTTACTAGTGTTATGGCTGATAGGAGAGATAATACCAAGAACGATGCTTTGTGTGAGGCAGAAAAGTACGGCTTTATTTTCAGCTGAGACACTGGCGTGGAATTGCGTCCAATAGCAAACCAGAGCGAGGATAAAGGCATTGACTTTCCCTTTTATACATCTTCAAATGCAGGCAAACAAAGAAACATGCTTCTACATATGTAACATCACCACTACGTCACTTTAGCATCATAGAAATATCAAATTATTCCTTCTACATGCAAGGGGCATGTCTTCATATTTTTTTTCTAAAGCAGCTTACAGCAAGTTAGAGATAACTAGGAATCAGCTTAGATACATCAAGAGGCCTATTTTTGAACTATCAGGAGGGAGGGAGAAAAACTCCTTACTTTTTACCTGTATTTGTGCCAGGCCTTTCTTATCCCCCCCTCCCGGAATGTTCACCCCCCTCTTGCCTGTGCCTTGGACACAGATCATTCAGCATCCCTTTTGTCCTGTCAGCTTGGCTTCCTAATACAGAGAGAACTTGATTTTTTCTACATTTCAGTGCTTGAAATGTATATACAATATATATACAAAAAGGTAAAGGTTTCCCCCTGACATTAAGTCCAGTTGTGTCCAACTCTGGGGTGTGGTGCTCATCTCCATTTCTAAGCCGAAGAGCCGGCGTTGTCCGTAGACACCTCCAAGGTCATGTGACCATCATGACTGCATGGAGCGCCGTTACCTTCCCACCGAAGTGGTACCTATTGATCTACTCACATTTGCATGTTTTCGAACTGCTAGGCTGGCAGAAGACAATATATGTATAAATATCTATATTTCCAATATCTCCAGATCACTAGAAGTATCAGCCAGTCTTCCTCTTAGCAGATTCAACCATTCATTGGAACTCTGGCTGGCTGTTGTAATGGAGGGACACATCTTTCTCTTATCCTGATTGGGGTTTCCAATGCTAAGCAGGATTCTGGGAAATGTAGTTCAGGGCAAAGCCTTTTGAATTCTCTGGTAAGGGTTCCTCGCTTTACCAAACTATATTTCCCAGAATCCTGTGCTTTCTCAGTCTCTTTCCCAGCGAATATTGCATTCTCCCTGCTGCTTTTCCTCTCCTCATGGCAAGAGGTCATTAGTTTAAAGAGGAAAGGCAGCCTTTTTGGCTTTGTTTTGCTTCCTTGCACTAAAAATGAAACTGACTTTGGGAAGCTTCCGATATTTACAATATTCAAACAAAAAAGTATTGGGTAAGTTTCAATTTTTTTCGTTTTTGGTGCGGGCCATGCGTCGTAAGTACGAATTTAATGAATTTGATACGACTTACGACAACTAATGAAAAAACTGACACCTCTATAAAACAGGATAGGAGCTTCAGTGAAAAAAAAATTCCAAGCTCTGACTAGTGGCAGAGCGCATGCACTGCGTAGTTCTAGCTACAGTCCTGGCATTTCCATTTTGGTGATGAGGACTGGAGGTGAGAAACAGATTCCAGAAAGCAGCAGCCAATGCCCATAGATAGTATTGGGACAGATGAGCAAATAAACTAACTATTATAAGGCACTTTGAACACTCCATTGACCTCCACTGCTATATATTATACCAACAGATAATACTTTAAAAGAAAGGAAAGAAGATAACCACAAACAAATAAGAATAGCAGCCAATAACAACTTCTTGGAAATAATTTGTTTTCCACATTTATTTATTTATCGTGTCATCAGCAACCATACCATTGTATTACAATTCTAACAGAACAAAACAAACACAGATTAAAAAGAAAAGAAAAAAAACACACAGATTTTGCAAACTTGGTAGTTGGTTAAATGTCCTTTGACCAGTATCTGGCCACTTGGAGTGCCTCTGGTGTTGCCGCAAGAAGGTCCTCCATTGTGCATGTGGCAGGGCTCAGGTGCATTGCAGCAGGTGGTCAGTGGTTTGTTCTTCTCCGCACTCGCATGCCGAGGATTCCACCCTGTAGCCCCATTTCTTAAGATTGGCTCTGCATCTCGTGGTGCCAGAGCGCAGTCTGTTCAGCGCCTTCCAAGTCGCCCAGTCTTCTGTGTGCCCAGGGGGGAGTCTCTCATCTGGTATCACCCATGGATTGAGGTGCTGGGTTTGGGCTGCCACTTTTGGACTCTCGCTTGCTAGGGTGTTCCAGCGAGTGTCTCTGTAGATCTAAGAAAACTATGTCTTGATTTAAGTCGTTGACGTGCTGGCTGATACCCAAACAGGGATGAGCTGGAGATGTCTCTGCCTTGGTCCTTTCACTATTGGCTGCTACTTCCCGGTGGATGTCAGGTGGTGCAATACCGGCTAAACAGTGTAATTTCTCCAGTGGTGTGGGGCGCAGACACGCTGTGATAATGCGGCATGTCTCATTAAGAGCCACATCTACTGTTTTAGTGTGGTGAGATGTGTTCCACACTGGGCATGCATACTCAGCAGCAGAGTAGCATAGCGCAAGGGCAGATGTCTTCACTGTGTCTGGTTGTGATCCCCAGGTTGTGCCAGTCAGCTTTCGTATGATGTTGTTTCTAGCGCCCACTTTTTGCTTGATGTTCAGGCAGTGCTTCTTGTAGGTCAGAGCACGGTCCAGAGTGACTCCCAGGTATTTGGGTGCGCTGTAATGCTCCAGTGGGATTCCTTCCCAGGTAATCTACAGAGCTCGGGATGCTTGTCTGTTCTTAAGGTGAAAGGCATGTCTGTGTTTTAGATGGATTAGGGATCAGCTGGTTTTCCTGTAATAGGCAGTAAGAGCACTTAGAACTTCGGAGAGCTTCTGTTCTACTATCTCAAAGCTCCCTGCTTGAGCAGTAATGGCACGATCATCAGCATAGATGAAACTCTCTGTCCCTTCTGGCAGTGGCTGGTCATTTGTGTAGATGTTGAACATGGATGGAGCAAGCACGGTCCCCTGAGGCAGGCCGTTCTTCTGTTTCCGCCATCTGCTTCTCTGGCCCTGGAACTCAACAAAAAAGCTCCTGTTTTGTAGCAGGTTTCCTATGAGGTGGGTGAGGTGGTAGTCCTTTGTGATATTATACATTTTTCTCAGGAGGAGGCGGTGGTTCACAGTATCATAGGCTGCTGACAGGTCTGTGAAGACAGCTCCTGTGATCTGCTGCCTTTCAAAGCCATCTTCTATGTGCTGAGTCAGGTTCAGCACTTGCGATGTGCAGCTTTTGCCTTTTCTGAAGCCAGCTTGCTGTGGGATCAGACATGGGTCTATATTTTCCATAATTCTATGCAAAATAAATCTCTCCAGAACTTTGTAGAGGTTTTCCACATGTCTGAACTGTATAGATCAATCTTGGTGCCGAACTTCTGGCTAGATAGGATCCAGCACCAGATAGGAGAGCACTTTTACAAAACAAAATGTTTGGGGAAAAAAAGTGTATAGCTCATATTGTATAAGCTTGTCCAGTTGCTTCTCATCAATTCTGCTGGGACTGCAACATCGATGATCCATACTTTGTAGTTTGACGTGCTCATTTTCTGTAACCTTTTCAGGCTTGTGATCCCACCAATTCTTTGTCGCAGGTAGATATTTGTGGCACAAGTTCCAATGGATCTTCTGAGC